AGTATGTCTCAGAATATTCATGTCACATTATGTAAAATTAGGCAGCGAGCGTATTTCACAGACGAAAATTTCTAATTTCCATCAGGTGAGTTCATACGCGTGTGTAAGGGGAGGGGAGGAGGGTAGAATAAATCGTACACAGCCCAAAATTGTCTAGTCACTCTAGGATGCGAGCTGTGCTTTTATCTACGCGCAAGGGGGGGGGGGGAGATTGTTAGTAATGCGGACTACCAATCCCATTGCTAGCAATACACCCTGTCAGGTCAACATCCACGTGGTCCCCTTTAGAAACCATTGTGGCGAATTCCTGGTGCAATCATCACGATGGGCTAACTGTCCTGCCTTTTCATCTCACCAATCATCCATCACTGATGCCCCGCCAGTATATACCGTCAACACAGGCAGGGCTACCATTCCATTATCATCCATTAAAAAAAAATTACACGCAAGGATAAAATTTTAAAATTGTCCTCCTGAAAAATAATTTTAAATATGACAAATTTGCTTGTCATTCCAAGTTGCATAAAAAAATACAATAAGTTGCACGGAAAGTTTCTACGGTTTATGGCGACAAGGAGGCCTCATAAATCATGTCTTATGACGTCCATAAACTTAGATATAAAATAATGATCTTATTGCCCCTGAAAAGTTGTTGCTCCTGAAGTTTTTGCTACGTAAAGATAAACTGCAACTTCAATCAACACATGAGTAAATCCTATTTTATAATGAAGTCTCTATACATTCTTGAGGCTATACTTATAAACATTCCTTGGACATAGGTTCAAAGTACCTAACTTCCGGTTCGGCGAAACTATAAAGTCGGCAAATCTTAAAAACAAGAAGATTTGAAAGCATTTTTTTTTTCTGCAAAGGTAATTTGTACAGTAAATTGTTTCGAATTATATACGGTCGTTTAAGTTCTTAATTAAAATATGGAAGTACCTTTAAGGTTCGGTAAACGGTCATTTAATTTTCAATAACATCTAATATTTCCAAAGCCGTGAATAAAAAATCTAAATGTAATTTCGCATTTGATACACATGTCATTAAGTATAATTATTAAAAGTTTAGGTCATGTATCCACTGTCACTTTTTATAATTTTTGATTGTAGACAAAAACAAATTCGTGGCCCCTGCAATACAGTGAAGAGGCAAAACACTACAGTACTTGACAATGATCATCATACCAGCCGTTAACTAGCCATATATAGTCAGCCATATATAGGCCTGAATATAGGCGTCACCCTAAATAACCCTGAGTAAGTCTTAAAGTATTCTAAATAAGCGATCTTCTATGTAAAATAACAAAACATTAATAAATTGGATACTTAAATATAGGTTCAAAATATTAGATTTATGAATGACGATTAGAGATAAAATGCACTTTTTATACACCACATGGTGAGACCTATTATATAATATATATGTAGTATCAAAAGCAATATGACATAAAGATACTTATCATAATTTTATTGGACTATGACGCCAGCTTATAAATAGATCAAGACAAACAAGAGGCTTTAAAGTCAGTTTAATATTAATATTATTTTTATAACAATTCTACCACCTATATTGTATAATTTGGACACACCTAATTTACATTCTTACACTTGAAAATATGAGAAAGAAAACAGGTTTACAATGATTGAGATATGGACAGAACTTTTTTAAATGACGTCTGGTTGCATTTTTTTAATATAGATTACGTCCTTATCATAAATTAGTCTATTTATTTATATAAATAAACTTTCGTACATTCACTTATAGATTTCTGGTTATAACAAAAATGTATACAGACAGACTTATCTCTTAATTGAATTTCTAGTAGTATAAATATAGTCTAAATTTAATATTTTATTATTTTTGTGACACGAGGTTGTATACACAAAGATAGACTGTCATCTATCTTTGTGAATATACACATTGCGCAATATATATTATGAACATCCTTTATATGTTAGGGCTATTTTGTGACACTACGGCGGTATGGATAGCACTAGCTACTAACTAGTTTTAACGAGATATTAATAAGTACTACATTCAAGAAGACGTATTTTCTGGTTCTACAGTTAACTAACAGACAAAATGGTTCACAATCGGCCAAGTTATTGTATACAATATCTTTAATCAATTCTGAACCAATATTATACCATAGGTACGCAGAAAAAGATCTAATCGAATTAAGAATTCCCTTTCGTCGCTTAAAATTATTCATGACGCCAACGTGTAGAGGACGAATTTGATAATTTATTTCATTCATACTACGGATGTTAAATTATAATTCCCAGAATGGCAATGTCTTTAAGTAACTTAACCATTTATGACGTAGTAAATTCACAAACGTAATTTTTAAATATTTATATTAAAATCGATATTACGTTCTTCCTTTGAGGAAGAAACTCGGTATGCACGGTTGTCAATCAACCTCGTAAAACTAAGAATCTACCCATGCTATAGAAAATATTTGAACCTCCCAAACTAATAGGTTCTATATTAGTACAGTGTAAACTCTGTATAGCGAAATTCTATATAACGAAAATCTTCCCCTTACCCTTGTATTGAAACAGGCTTTATAGTGTTGCAACCACTTTCAATAGCAAAACAATATATCGTTATTTAGATCCCGATAAACATTTGTTTTACTGATCTTCAAACAGAATACTGACACAGAGTTGTAAATATTTCGTACTTACCATGAAATTTTTAGAAATGTATTCATTTGTTTTTGTAATTGTTTACTTATTGTACATTACTGTCCTTTTATTACTATGGAAATATATTTACGTTATTCTTATTTGCTATCAAATTTTCGAACTGAAAATATGTACAACATTATATTATTATTTTTTTCCTCTCCATTTAACAAAAACTTTTTATATCACATTAAAATACCCGATCCCTCAATTTCGCTATATAAAGTTTTCACTGTATATGGAAAGCTCAACATTTTTTTCTTCTTTTCGACACGTCATATTTAGAAAAATGTTTAATTTCACTGGCAACAAAATCTGTAAAAGTTGCTCATGGTTTTGATATCACCTGTAACTATACATAATATGAATGGGTACATATGTACTTAAAATTCTTTGTGGTAAGGTCGTAAACAATAGTGGCTCGATCATAAAAATCTTAGAAAGTGGATGGGCCACAGTCATTTTAGTATTTTGCTCACATCACAAATTTGATATCGATCGCTATTTGTTATTTAAATATTTTTATGAGGTTAATCGCATTTTTTTATAGGAATACGACCATTCGATAAAGAACACAAGGGCAATGCAAATTACAACTACAAGTAGTGAATTTTAAAAGCTAATTCGCTACTTTGAATTCTGTTTTTGGACATAGGAATAGGAACCATTACTGCTTAGTTACAGCAATACCACCATTGTAATAACGATAGGTAACATAAAGATAAAAAGACACATTCGAGAAACATCATAAATAGGACAATGTTCTACAATGTCCATACGGTCGAACGGTCAACACTTTCCATCAGACGTCAGATCCATCAACTTGTCTTTCACTTCCAATAGTATAAAAAAGTTAAAACATGTTCATACAATTAATAAGTTAATCGAAACCTTATTAATTAACCATAGACACGAGTACATAATTGCACATGTAACAGTGGGATTATGTATTAGTAGTATCTCGTATCATTGAATAACATAAATTATGCGGGAATTCTATGCGTGCGAAGGTGCAATATAATGGTGACTGACCGATGAGTCACAGTGGTGCTTCCTTCCTTGGAATCGTGGACTCAATAGAACTCGTGTTTACCCTTAACTAGTGCCTCGAACCGACTTCGGACGGAATTTTTGAAAATAAAACAGTCCATGTTAATCGCTGATAATATAGCTTTCTATAGGTGGACGAATTTTTAAAATCGATTAAGACCCTATTTTTGTTGATCCATTGCAAACAATAAAATCAAATCTTTACTCTTTTTTTATTTAATGGATGATAATTGAACGGTAACCACGCTTGCACTATCGGAATATGTTGGCGGGCTTCAGAGAAGGATTAATAGTTGAAGATGGTAGCAGATCAGTTGGCCCATCGTAACAAAAACAAGAATAATTAGCTACAATGGTTTACGAGCAAAATCGCGTGGAGGTTGACCTGATAGATTAGATAGAATAGAATATTGCTAACAATGGACTTACAAGTCTCCGTTACTAACAATTCCTTCTCCCCCCCCCCCCCCCATCCTTTCTTTTTATGACAATCTACTTTCAATCGATATACCTTGCCACAACATAGCATACTGATTATCTATCCGGGGGTCCTCCTATCTACTATCTCAGATTGCGTGCATTTTGTATCAATCTAAAGGGTAAGATAATCAAGACTATTTATTTTAACACAAAAGATAACATCTTAGTGTATCATGAGCAGCATAGTATATTTATGATATCCGTGGTACACTATCTTTATTTACCGCTTATTATAAAGGTGGGCAGTCAGCTTGTTTGCTATTATCAATACAAAAAACAGACCTCGGTAAAGTAACACAGAGTTTCCCTTATCTTTTGGACATAAACAAGACCTCCTTGGACAACACAAAATATAGTGTATAGCCCACGATTTTGCTCAGCAACGTCGATAGGGGAACAAAATTATTTCGCTTCTTCTATTAAAAAATTGCAGTGGCATTCAAATTCATTTAAATGTAAACACGACTTTGCATGTGCCACGTCTCGGTAGAAATACTATCCAAGTGAGATGTACAAAAGTATGCTACGCTTTATTAAACTAATAAATTGATAATTAAATGTTACGATGAATGTCTCAACAAACGCTACATATAATGACCTAGTCTATTTTCATCGAGTTATAACTACTTTATAGTAGTCAAACTGATGGATTCAAATCACCAAGCGTCTCGCATACATCAAATCACACATCTAGACATTAATTAGCATTAAGTGGATTTATGAGAAAAACTAGTTTCTATTATTATGGTACATTACAAGGTTAAGACTGGTACCCACCTCCTTGGTCCAAGGACCTTTGACTAGTTCGGGGTTGACGACCTTCGTCCAACGCTGTTGGCACTGAACGTCTGATCTGTCGGAAAAGTGGGCCGCTATCAGCTCCCAGTTCTCATTGTACATCCTTACATAATTTTTTAACTTCTTATCCTGGAAATAAAGTATACTTTCCTTTAAAAATCTACAGCTCACAATCCGTACCGGCAAGGAATACAGCACGGTAACAGCATTCCGATGTCTTTTCAGGGAAAGTTGGTTACAGATCTGGTTAGTGCAATCATGTGAATAAATATTTTCTTTTTACAAAGTTATGGTTGATAAGATCGTACTTATAAAATCTTGGAATCTGAAAAACGTCCAGTCGATGTGAGTTGGGAATATACTAAATAACATTTAAAGGCCTCAATATGCAGCAACAATTAGTGATACCAATATTATATTTCTGTCGAAAAATAGTACTATAGAGGTTAAATACCTCGATACAGAAAAAACAAGACTGGCCATGAGTTCGATCCTGCAAACACAAAAAGTTGTGATTCGGCGATGGTAAAATGTCATGGTGAAAAAACTAAATTAATCAGATTAATCTGACATCGCTAAATATCATTATAAAGAAGTATATTTCGTTATAAGAATTGTTTATTTAATATTTAAGTATTTAAAATTTTGCAGGCCTAATTATGCGAAATATGTGGACTTAATATTATTTTATCTATCTGTATATTTACCATATTTCTTGCAAATAAATATTCATTCATTCATTAAATATAATATAGTTAAATCACGCTAATCGCAATCGACCAACTGATTTGACTGACTGCATCCTCACCTATCATTCCACACTGGTATCCCGCTAGAGTAGAGTAGCGGAGTTGCTATTCTGTACACATCGTTTAAACAATATATAATCGGAAGTGAACTGAACTGCTGTGATAAGAAATTAATAGATATAATGAATATGAATACAACAATAAAGAAAGAGATTATAATTAAAAAGATATATATATAAGCGATAATAAAGAAAATTGAAAGTGTATCATACCTCCTCCTTAGTCCACCTCCCCCTATTGATATTCTTCCGCGGCCCAGTACTTTTGGTTGTAGTCGACACATCTTCGTACACCGCCGAGTCCTCTGAATACTCGCTCGTCTCTGAATCATAGCCGCTTCGTCTGTTGACAAAGATATTTTATCACCATTGATTTATTAACAGAATTAACAAAACTTATATCTTAAGGTTATCCATCATTAAATTGAGAATATTGGTATTTTTATGCCATAGTATAGGCAATTTAACAAAAAAAAATATACGTTCAGCATAAATATGTTATAAGATATTATCAGATTATTAACAATTAAAATAGATAAAACAATACCAGTATAATAGGTACACGGTCTTTGTTTTTTGCAAGAATCTTTGTCTTTATATCACGATAGTACTGACGATGTGATTAATAAATGAAGATCAATAAATACATTTTATTCAAACTATATAATACAAATATCATTTGAGACAATGAAAAGTATTATTAGGGCTGTCTAAAGTGATACTGTCTTTACTTTTGCACTTGTTATAAAAAGAGTAAATGTAGAGAGATGTCGAGAGATTCAAGGCAATATGCTGAATACTCAAGGTTACATCTGCAGTAGAAGTATGCAGAATGTTCTGAACGAATAGGCAACAAGACATAAGCTTGTCAATATAAATCTTTACTTGGTACTTTAAAGTTTCCATAAAAGATGTTTATGTAAAAACAACCTTTTCAAATAAATTCAATTATTCAGTCATTATCATTAACAACACTTCTTCAGTTAAAAATTTACATACATTGTAACCTTTTTGAAAAAATGTCAAAATTCAACAACATAAGCATTGGAGGACCCAACCCTTTGTTTAGTTTCTTCGTCAAATCTTATCTGTAGATAAGATGAAAAACAAGTTTTTATCTTCTCAATTTAAATAAACAATAGGGAAGCCGGCAAGTTTAACACTCAGTCCTGGAAATATGAAAGTGCTTAATTGGTTGTGGTGTTAAAACTTTATGATAACTATGAAGTAAAATGTCGTATACTTATTACTTTATTTAGTATATGAAATCAAAAATAAAATAGGGTTCCTTAAACCAATATAGAAAATAAATGCTATTATTATAAATGCCAAATTTCGAAGTATACATACATGATTGGATGAATGTGTGTTACACTTCACGTTACAAAAAAAAAGGACACAACAAATTGAATGAAATTTGATACATGGCTTACCCACATCCTAAATTAGCATATGGGATACTTGACAAACTGATTTACGTGGATAAAGTCGCGGAATACAGCTAATTTAAAATATAAAAGCTTTTTTTTACTAAAAGGAAACGCGTGAAACTACTTTTTTTAATGATAATTCTTCTGAAATTGAATTATAAAAGAAACATAAAAAAGAAATAGATATCTAGAATTACGTCTTGATTACATAATTGCCGGTCAGGTTTTCAATATTATAAAAAGATGTAAATGTACTACATTGTGTTCGAATCCTGATTATCCTATCATAGCTTCACGTTGGCTTACGTAATCCTGCTATACACGTGGCAAATATTATTAATTCTTAAACTAGATATTCATCACGAAGTTTTGTTGAGTATCAGTTGATCAACATTTGTGATTCCTAAGTCCATATAGACAATCTGCAACTCATGTTGCTCATGTAAATTTAACTGAAAAAGTTCAAATGATTGCATTGATATATAAACACATCCACAAACTTCAACAAGTGCCTTTTAAAATTTGTTATTATAATAATATAATTTATCATTATTTTAAAATAATAAAAAAACAGACACTACCAACCCCTTCAAAAAACAGAAATTCAAAGGATTTACTTCTTAAATTAAAAATAGCTGACTTTTGTTGGCTACCCAGAATATGCACATCTTCATTTAGAAAATAAAATCTGTCCATTTGACTTAAATCGACTACGTGATTTCATTAACAATAAAGGAAAAACATAATAGCCTCCTGAATATGTTTACATAATATTTTATATCCTTGATTTCCCTAAATAGCCCTACTTCTCCTGAGATATATCTCAAAGACACTCGAACTACTTTACTAATCCAAACTTAATATCACAAATAAGGAATAGCGGAATGGTGTATCACAACCAACAAGAGTTGACGCAAAAGTACATGTTGCAAGAAGTTCCTCAAGGGTTTATCTTAGGGCCGTTCCTTTGGGTCCTGTAGCAGTTATTTCGTGAGCAAAATAAATAATGATAACTACTACTCCGGTAAGTCTATCAAAAGTTTAACATCAGCATAATGGAATGTAATAAAACCGGGCTTAATAAACAACCAGTTTATTTACTTGCAACTTTGATAGTATAAAGGAGATGTATTGTTAACTGGAATGAAAAGTTATTTTAATCCAACCCAAATACTATTTGGTGATGAGTGATTGAGCCATTAAAATTCTAGGAATTAAATAAACATAACATTATATATAAGTACGAAAAATTATTTTAAATATCCGAATCTTTCTGAATTATTGAGATACCTACGCTTAATGGTGCTACGCTTAACGCTCCAATTCGTAAATGAATATCCAGAAAAAGATGACTCCTTTTGTTCAAGCTTACGCATTATATATAGTAATGATCTTCTACTTTAGAATCTATATCCTTGACTACAAGGTATAATTTACAATATTATGGGAATAAAACCACAGGAACCCAAGGATCTACTTCACTAGCAAGAAACGAGTTCTCATATAGACGTGGAAAAATAACCCATACCGGTTTATAATATCAATAACTCCTGATTCGACTTTCGATGAGATAAGAATGGGAATAAAAACTAGTAGACAATTTATGCATAGCCATTAGCCGCATACTATCAGCTGATGTAGAAACTCGTTTTTGTTCTCATTCATTGCAGAGAGACGTACTTGTTGAAGGTCGCCAAGTAATTTAAAATACTGTAAATACAAAATAAAGTGATTTGGTTTAATAATATGTATTAATTCTTTGATTTTTTAAATTACTGTATTTATTTTAACTAATGACATGCAAGACCCTTAACATTCTTACTTACTCGCAATCAGAAGTTCTTTCGCAGTAAGTGTGCCTACAAAAATTGGTTAATAAAAAGAGATTAACATATAAAAACTCACTCATATAACATCCCGCTGAATTATCCGAAGAGAAATATTAAGATACACCACGTCATGTAACGCTCCATCGTCACATTAAAATGTATAACTTACACATTATCACTAAAAAGCAAAATTGCACATCAAATCTTATCGTTAATCCCCGAAGAGTTCCCGCCAAAACACATCCAAATCACATTTCTACACTTATAGGCGACTCATGCGCAACGAACCTCACAAGCAACTACACTACTAAGAAAAATTCCCTTCCCCTGTTCCCACACTCACACAAAAATAAATATTCACTAACACACCTACACGAACTACATACAAGACGTAATAAGGGTGAAAGGATCGACAAAACCCCTGGAAGGGACGAAAGCGCGACAGAAAATTATAATAAAAAGAAGAGCGACAAGGACGACGGACCAGGTACAAAAATCATACCCTATAATGGGAACGTGTAACGCAACACAAATGAAGGAAAGCAGGTGTATGCAACTGGTATAGAAAAGGAACAAAGAAAATCGATTTTATACTTTTTTTATTGGATAGGTCAGAGTCCAGACAAATGTTATGTTAGCTTAGTATCATAGTAAGCAAAGTTATAGATCATCAAATATCTGTTACACTATAGAATTTAGTATTACTTATCAAATTTTTATTTATTTATAGGAGTTAAATGTATCAAAATAAAAGTAAATTTCTTTAAGTAGAGCAGACTATAGGGCGTGCAAAAAAGAAAAAACATACAAAAACAAGAGGGTTCCTGCCCATTCCTAAATGTGTACCGGATGCTACGGTAATTCCGAACGGGAATTTGTTCGCGACTTGAGGGGATGAATGCGAAATGTTGCAAATGTTTTACATCAGCTGATGTTCGAAACTTTTTCTTCCTTATAAAATAAATTGTAACATAAACTTTGATATAAGTCGGTGAGTTAAATTGAAGTGGTATCAGAAATATTCAATCATTTCCTGTAACAGACACAATGATAAGATTTAGCTATTATTATGAATGCAAGTATAAGGGCATTGCCAGATACCAAAAACTCTAATCAGAAATAATGTTGATAAGAAAAATTTTCACACCGACAGCAAATTTTTATTATTAACACATAACTTACAAACTTTCGTACGTTATTCATAAAAGTAGTGTCGTGATCTAATCTAGTCATCAAATCAAAGTAAACGGAAGTTTAAAATACTTTGATATAAAAAAAATTATGTACACGGTATACGAATATGTAATTAAAATAAGTAACCCGATGAACCACTGATCTACAATATATACAGAGCTTGTCAAGAATTTTGTAAAGAATACTTGTTTATAAAATTTGTATCTAAAAAGAAATTGCAGTTTCGTGGTCGTCAGATCATTTTTGCATAAACCTAAAATTACGCTATTCATATTTATTAGAGTGATAACAAATTTTATTTGAACATTAACTTATTTAATATTTACATGTATAGAAATATACTAAATGGCATTTCAAGAAGCTTATAATCGTTTTGTCTTCCGACGTCAGGACAGTTTAGAATTTTTTTTTTATTTTATAGACATAAGAAATCTAGAATTGCTATCAAAATTTATATGCTTGCGTCTATAGGCGACGGTTACCACTTACCATCAGGTGGGCCGTCAACTTGTTTTCTAAGTTGTATAAAAAAAAATACAAGTATTAAAAATTACACCACAGAAAAATGAACTAAGATTTATATTAATGAAAAAAAAATTATTGAAGATAATTGTCCTTAATATCTTTTATAAAGTGAGGGGTCAAATGATGTTTTCCTCGCACACGACATAAAAGATATAAAATATGGCAAAAAACAGGTCCCTAAGGGGTTCCTTGAGGAAATGTCCTGTTAACTCACGCATCGCCCGTGCTTCCTGTCTTGCGTTGCGTCCCCTTATTTTTGTGTGACCCATTTATTAACACTTTTAAATTATAAACTTTCTTACAACAACATTAGAAAACTTACATGATTGACTTCCAACTTCTTACTAATATTACAAATGTGAAAA